AGGCTGTTGACTCCCCTAGCAACATGGGTAAAATGTAACAGGTTCTCTGGACTTCCTGCTCCCATACGAAGTTGTTTCATCACTAGCCAGGAATGGGTGAAAACTTACAGTAAAATCAACAATCGCAGTTGTTGTAAAAACAACTTTACCTGCTCTGGTTAGTGGACATGAGAGAAACAGAGAATTAAAACGTTAAATTGTAAATACTGTCTCCAAGTATTAACTGCTCCTTTTCTCTTTTCATGCCATATTTTTTCCTTGCAACCCCTATCTGACTTTATGTATATTTGCTAATTATGCTCAGCAAAACCCTCATTAACTTTAACAGGAGCAAGCACCAAAAGAATAAAACATTGTTTCTAGCACTAAGCTTTTATGGTTTCTCAGATGCACTGTTCTGGGAAAAAGCAATTCATCAGCTTTAGAAAAGATATTTATGATGTGTCCATATAGCTTCTTTGGGCTTACTAAGGTCCATTAGTATATACATTTAACTGATTACTTGGATCCTAATCCAAAGACCATTAAGCCAATGAAAAGACGTACATTGACTTCAGTGGATTTTGGATAAGGCCCTAATGGAGCAGCAAAATATGCTGCAAATAAGAATGTTTCATTCAGCGCTAAAGAAAAAACAGATTTTTTCCAGTGCTTACTGTAATTACTTTTAATACATACATTAAAAGTTTAGTAATTTAAGAAGTAAATAACTTTGAAACAAACAAACAAACACTGGCCTAAGCCAATATTATTCTGTGCTGGCAGGGAGAAATTCTGCAATTGGTTCTTCTAGCCAGACTCTTATTCCCTGAATTGGATAGGGACAGACGGCGCACACAGCTTAAAACAGGATGGAGTGCCCTTGTTGTACATGGGTCCCTGGGCTCACCCACCACCAATGACATATTATATAGAAAACTTTATCTGTGCACACCCAAGTGCTTTTAGAAACCAACCACTCTGCACTGTAGAACTTCTAAATACCTGTATACTATTTTATATTTTATTCATTGTATTGTACTCTAAATCTTTGAAAATTGGTATTCCATTGGTAAAATATAATTCTCAGTTAAGAAGAATAATCGATTAACCAGTATCCCACATTCCCTCAACATGCTGGATAACAGAGCTCTTTCTGGAAATAAGAAGCGGGCAGCATTGTATCCTGCAAATGTAAAGAAAATTGTTTCTCTTAGGCTATGAAATAACATAGTCTCTGTCTACACAGAAAGCCCATTATTTTGAAATAAATTCAAAATAACGAGCTTTTTACTCCGACTTCTGTAAACCTCATTTCATGAGGAGTAAGGGAAGTTGGGAGAAGAGCGCTCTATTTCAAAAAACTGCTGTGTAGGCAGTGCCAAAAGTTGAAATAAACTATTTCCACTTAAACTGTGCAATTAGCGTGGCTCAAGTTGCATAGCTTATTTTGAGTTTAGCCCTGCTGTGTAGATGTACTCTTAGCAATTGGCTGACCAAGAAGTAGGACAGGGTGGACTAATAGGCTCTAAAGTTTTACATTATTTTGGTTTTGAGTGCAGTTAAGTAACATTCTGTACTTGTAAGTTGCACTTTCACAATAAAGAGATTGCACTGCAGTACCTGTATGAGGTAAACTGAAAAATACTATTTTCTTTATCATTTGTACAGTTCAAACATCTTTTAAAAAATGAAATAAGCAATATACACTTTGTATTCTGTGTTGTAACTGGAAATGTAGCAAAATATAAAAAATATTTAATATTTCAATTGGTGTTCTGTTTAGCAGTGCAATCAAAACAGCATTTTTTGTTAATCGCATGAGTTAACTATAATTAATCAACAGCTCTAATATTAATTAATTACAAATACCTGTAGTTTGGCATAAACTAGTTTAGATATATTGAGAAGTCTAAGACATAAAGAGAAGTTGTTATTCTTTCACACTTCAACAGTGAAATTACAATTAAACAATGTAGTCTTGAACTTGTTTCATGAATTCCAGAATCAGAAATATGGGAACACTTGAGAGAGGAGTTATCAATTGGCTAAGAGTGTTTTCAGCTATCTGCTTTAGTACAGCATGCCCTTTGAGATCCTATTAAGAGTGTTGGAAAAATCAGGTTTATAGAGGCAGAAATGCTGGCTGACTCACCAACTCATTGGTTCTGGTAAAGCAGAACACTTTAAAAAGGCAAAATGATGATCTTCTACATCAAGGGTGGGCAATAATTTGTTCCCAGGGGCCACTTCAAAATTTTTTGAAGTAACCCCAGGCCACCCTGGAACGGGAGGGGCCTAAACAGTAAGGGCAGGGACTAAACAGGAAGGGTCTGGGGTGGGGGAGCCCCTTCCCCCCCCTTCCCACTAGGCACCCATGCCCTAGAAGTGGCTTGGCATGCTCACCCACCCACAGGCCAATCAGGGCCTGGGGGCAGGGGAGTGTGAGGAGCACATGGCACTTTGAAGTGCCGTGGGCTCCTTACAGAGCAGGGCAAAGAAAGCTTCACGCAGCTCCCCCGCCCCCAGATCCTGATTGGCCTGTGAGTGGGGGGGGTGTGGGAAGGCTCCTCTGCGTGGGGGGAGGGGGGCAGGGGGGCCGCCGCAGGCCGGATCCACCTGCTTGGTTGGCTGGATCCAGCTCGTGGAGGCCCTTTTCTTAGGGTTTCCAGGTGTCCTGTTTTGAACTGGACAGTCTGGTATTTGAGAATTCTAACTAGGTAAGTTTTATTATTATTAGAAGTTTCAGTATGTAGTTGCGTACTGCCTAGCTGGCGTGGGGGGAGGGGGGCAGGGGGGCCGCCGCAGGCCGGATCCACCTGCTTGGTTGGCTGGATCCAGCTCGTGGAGGCCCTTTTCTTAGGGTTTCCAGGTGTCCTGTTTTGAACTGGACAGTCTGGTATTTGAGAATTCTAACTAGGTAAGTTTTATTATTATTAGAAGTTTCAGTATGTAGTTGCGTACTGCCTAGCTGGTAGACACACTCACACTGTGTGAGCGTGTCTACCAGCCAGGCAGTACACAACTATGCAAGGGGAGGAGGAGGGAGGGGTGGGGGTAGGAGGGAATCCTTGGGGCCGGACTCGCTCATGGTTCACTGGGACCGTGCGCAGTACAGGCAGCGCCCCGGGATCTGCATGTGCCCGGGTCAGTCCTGCTCCCCGCTGGCCGATTCTCTTCCCCTGCTCCCCCCGACTGCGTGTCTACCAGCCAGGCAGTACACAACTATGCAAGGGGAGGAGGAGGGAGGGGTGGGGGTAGGAGGGAATCCTTGGGGCCGGACTCGCTCATGGTTCACTGGGACCGTGCGCAGTACAGGCAGCGCCCCGGGATCTGCATGTGCCCGGGTCAGTCCTGCTCCCCGCTGGCCGATTCTCTTCCCCTGCTCCCCCCGACTCCCTCCTGACTTTCCCCCGTCCTCTCCTGGACAGGCAGTTCTGCCGC